TAATTTATATCAATTGCAGTTCTAAACTTTATACATTAATCCAACATAGTCCATTTTTTAACTATTGTTTACAGAACGGACAAAAACTGGTTAGCTTCATGTCAAGCAAGCATTGAATAGTGTGTGAACTACATTTTAACACATCTATTCATGGAAAGGGTTATGACTTATTTGGCTTCATTTGGGAATAAGGGTTGGGTTGGGTTGGGTTGGGTTGGGGGTTATTTTAGTCACAAAAAGACAAAATAGACTTTTTAGCCCAATAAGACAAAATATCACATTCAATCCATAATCATTATATTCTTTCTCTCACAAAAAGTCAAAAAAGCCAAAAAAGCCTTCCCAAACGAGGCTTTTTAGCCCTGGGCTAAAATAGCCAAAAAGTCAAAAAGCCAACCCATTTCCCAAACGAACCCTAAGTTAACTTTTTGATTTATTATGAAAAAACTTACAAAAAGTAAAGAGATAATATGATCTAAATAAGCTAATAAGCTGGTTTTTAAGCTTGTTGCCAAAAGAGGCCAAAATACTATCAATTAAATGTCCAAACACGTTTTTATTAAACTCTCAACAGGTCATTTGTTTTGGAGGATAGAGGTGGGGATTGAATTAGGATGGATGTGAGACCCATTGTAATGGTGTTTGTTTGCAAAATAAGGAAGGAGATTCATAGTCCCTTAGGGCCCATTCGTTTTCAGAGTTAGGATAGATGGAATTGTTAGTGAGGGGATTAACTAAATTATATTTGTTTTGATGATGGTTGTTAGTGTGGAAATTGTGAACTTATTTTTATATAAAATAATAAAACAAATAAAAATCATGGTTTTTACTTAACCAAAAAAAAAAAAGTTATTAATGTTCAAAATGTGCGGCCACACATGTAAAAAAAAAAAAAAAAAATTGCACTTGGCCAGTTGACTGCCCAGTCGTCCCCTTGACAACCTGTAACACTCTAATCCGAATAGACTATTTCTAAATAACATTTCATTACCCAAACTGTCAATTTGCTCGTCCAAGACTTTCCGTAGTTCAAAGAGACTCTCAATCTAGACCTTCATTTCCAAGACAAGCATGATATTGATTTACTATTCATTACTAACAGTCCAATCCATACTCCTAGATCGGAAAACAAACAGGCCCTTAGGACTATGATAGGTCTTGGATGAGAGGATTAGCCGATGCCTACAAAGGTTGGGTTTCAAAACTAGTAAGTGCATTAGTTTGAAAAAATATTATTTTGCCCATGTTGAATGCTGTGTATTTGTGTAGTTTTTTTTTTTTTTTTTTGGTGGTATTATGTCATTGTATATATTAAAATAATACAAAAAATATTTATAAAATATAATTTTTAATATTAAAATATATCAAAAACACCAAAGGATATATATAGTATTTCATATAGTTAAGCCCTTCACTAAAATATGTCACTATTTTTCTTAATTTCTTCATTACTAATAGTCTCTTTACTGATAGTGTCACGCTCCAAAATTTGGATAATTAAATATTAAATTAGGATTAAATTCCAATTAATATTCCATCATGCAAATCCTAGGGGTGAAACAAAAAAAAAAACTAAACGCCAACCAAACCATCCACCATAATTTCATAACTAACCAATACGCCAACATTAAGGTAGCAACAACTAGTCAAAACAACTTAAATAATGTAAAGTAACAAACTATGCCAAATTATCAAATACCAAGGTCATTAAAAAAAAATAAAATAAATACATTAACTAATATCAACCCTAAGCTCAAGAAAACAAAAGAAGTCTAAATAACATGTTCTACGATCATAGTTATTTCTTGTCACCACCATAACCTCAACTAATCCTGTAAAGGAAGCTCGGCTGCGCTCAAACAGAACGCACCCGAGTTGCCAAAAGACAAAACGGGTCAATATACATGTATACTGGTATAAGTACAAGATTTAATACTCATGTGTCGACCAGACACAAACAAAAATACAATTAATTCTTATTACGGGACAAGACAAGTAGTTCCAACCGCACCGAGATGAATGGATAGTTTCTTGAGATACAGTGGCATTTAGTTTCTTTCCCGTACACAACGAAATATAAATTGATTATAAAATAAATAAAATAGAAATAAAAATATGGTTGGTCAGCCCTGCATAAAAAAGTTAGTAAGACCCACCATCCTGCAAAAAAATAAAGTTATTATAATTTAATCATAAGCAACTTGTTGAAGAAGTATAAAAATGCACTGTTTTATGCTTAAATAATTCGAATTGACCAAAACTCAAAGAACAAAAGTTGTACAGAATCAAATTTCCTAAAAAATAGCGCCAACAAATTTAAAAGAAACTAAACAGGTTGAGATAAGAACTTGGGGGATATCGTCCCGAGTTTGACCCACACTCCCCGGATGGTTAGCATATATGTACGTGCGTAAATCAAAGCACTCGTTTACTCTTGAGAACGAGGCCACAATATACATTTACAAAAAATCTCACTCATGAGAACAAACATAACAATACCAAGCCTGGGGCATTCAAATAAATCTCATAATCCTCACTTTTTTTTTTATACATTCTTTCTCACCAATACTCAAATAAAACAACAATCCATGGAGTCATGGTGAAGTATAAGGATTTATCTATGGATTCTTAATTAATTTTAATTTCATATAACCATAAGTGTGATTATAACCATAAAATAAATCCATATAAAAATCATAAACCTGACATACACAATTAATCAAAATAATTAAAATCAATCAATCAACTAAAAACCTTAAACCTTACATACACTACTAAAAAAAATAATTAAAATCAATCAATCATCTAAAAATCCTAAACCTTACATACACAACTAATTAAAATAATTAAAATCGATCAATCATCTACATGCAAATATAAAATCAATTCAACATCAAATAAATAAAAATAAATAACTAAAAACAACGAATTAAATATCAATTAAGAAACGTGGATTTTGTACTCACAACATTTTTTTTGAAGATCAAAGAATAACTTAGAGAATTAATAGAGCCGCCAAAATAAAACTCTAGGTTGCATTTGGTAGAGTTTTGTAAATATGATTTGAGAGTATGAGTTGTATTTTGAGTTTGTGAGTTGTGAAATTATGATTTGAGTGTAGAAAATTTGTTTAGTTATGGTTTTTGAATAGAGTGTTGAATTGAGTTTTGTATTGAGTGTGGAATTGAGTTTTGAAAGTTTGAATTGACATGTGAAGTGAGAAAATTTGTTTGGTTATGAGTTTTGAAAAGAATTTTCAAAACTTAATTCAAATTGTTATACCTCATAACAAAACACACTACTTTCACACTATTGAAAATTCTGTTCAACACTTATAACCAAACTCTTTTTAAAATTCAATTAAAAAAATTTATTATTAACAGAAAATAACATTATTCAATTTTTTAATTGAAAATACTACAAAGGAAATAATTTTTTTTCAAAATAAATATTCAAAAAATTTAAATCATAAATATTTAAATAATTTAAATAATCTAAAAAATTTAATAAGTAAAAAATTAAAATAAATATTCAAAAATTTTAAATAATTTTAAATGTTAATATTTTAAATTTAAAAACAACTCTACACTCAAATCGTAACCAAACACATAAAAGCATCAGATTGGTTTCATTTTTTGGAGTACTCTGGAGTCGGCAAAACCAGCATGTCAGATTGGTTTCATTAAGTGTATGTTATTTTGTTTCACCTCTGTTTGAAGTTCCTGTTTCACTTGGAGCCAGAGTGAACAACGGTAAGCTCTGATGAAGGCAAAAGCTGAGGGAAAAAAAAAATCAAGAAGAAGAACAAAAATGAGAGAATAAAAATGAGAGAAAGCATATATGAATCGATTGACTGTGCATATAAGAGAGGAAAGGAAAGGAACCCGAAACATAACTGTGCAGAATTTGAATCCAACCTGCTTCTCTCCAACCCACCTCTGTTAGAATTTGAATTCAACTCACCTCTGTTTGAATTCAATCCAACCTTCTCAAATCAATTTCGTATGTGCTTCTCTCCAGCAGTTAAGAGTGCAGTAGTATTTTTCTGTCAAGCTTCACATCTCATCAGAGAGTAGGAATGGGAAGAAGACAGAGGGTATGGGGGAGACAGAGGGTATGGGGGAGACAGAAATGTGTTGGGCGGGAAAACTTTGATACATTTTGATATAAACCATTGATCTCAACCATTGATATATATTTGGAATTGATCTCAGCCATTGGATCAAAATGTATCTCACATACATTTTGATACATTTTTCAAAAAGCCTTGTGCCTTATTATATAGATATAAATACAACATAATTAAAACATACCTAAATATGATATATATTTTATTAATATATAAAACACTTATATATATATATATATAATATATATATATAAATATTTGAATTACTTATATATAATTGACTATCACATTAAATTAATTAAATGTCACATTAAATTCTCATAGATCTACACAATTAATAAAGCCAAACATAAAATAAAGTAACAATAAATAAATATTGACTAATGAAAAATTAGAGTCGCTACATATAGTCTCTACACTAACAATCTCACCCAATTTGAAAACAAACATGCCCCATAAGTAGTGAAAAACTTGGACCTATTTTGATTTGTGATACGCATATTTCAAGTGTTTTGTCGTTCATTTAAACAAGAAATAAAATAAAATTTTTAAATGTAAAATGTGAGACTGACATAAGTATTTTTGGTATATTTTTTTAAACAACAATTAGAATATGAGACAAAATTATATGTTAAATTTAGGAATACAATTGATACAAATTAAAATATTAAAAATAATTAAGAAAGGTTTTGGGGATAAAATGAGATTTTCATTTTTGAAGGACAAAAAAAAAAAAAAAACCAACATCATACTTGAAAGTGTAATTTACCCCAAATTAAAAACCAGAGTCCTTTTATCACATTGCTCAGTCTTAGAACCTTGCACTAATTCTAGAGAGAGAGAGAGAGAGATGGATGGAGATGCAGTGGACATGGATATGAATGGAAAAGTTTACGGACCATGTCTGAGTAGCTTCGTAGACGAAGGTAGCAAAGAGAGTCACAGATACTACCTCGCACGAAGGGCTCTGCTCGAAATGCTCAGAGACCGAGGCTACGCTGTGTCCTCCTCCGATATCGATCTCTCTCTTCAGGACTTTCGCTCCATTCACGGCCAAAACCCCGACGCCGATCGCCTTCGGATCTTCGCCTCTCTCCGCTCCGACCCCGCCAACAAGGTCCGCGAATTTCCAAACCCCCCCTTTCTGTTTGGTTTCCCAGAAAATAAATAGATATGAAATGTTTTGAATGCATTGTTTCTAAATGAATGAGTAGAAAAGGTAAAAGCATGTGAAATAGGAATATGGGTGATTCTTTATTTCTTTTTCTTTTTTTAATTTGTATTTTGATGGGTAATTTTGGTATTATAAAAATTATGCAACCAATCGATGGGGCAGGTGGCCGGCAGCTGTGGATGTGGTTGGAGCGGTGGCAGGCGGTTGCTAGGGTTTGGAGATTAGGGTTTTGAATGGAGAAGAAAAGGGTAATACGGTAGTTTTGATGTAAGATAATTGTAATTAAAAAAGATAGACAAAATGTTTGAACAGAGGGAGAATAGTGTGCGGAAATAGAAGCTCTCCCCAATCAATTTGCTTTCTCACTAAATTTCACCAAAAAAGGGGGAAATGAAAGTGGCATGATGGTAAGAGAGCTCTTTATCTTTATTTCTCACATTTTTTTTTACCATTTATTACCTAATTTGTAAACCCAACATTGTAAAAAGTTTTATTTCGAATCATTTCTTATCAAATCACTCGATCCAAACAGGCTGTTACAGGGTGTGTGAGAGCGTTGTGTTAACTGTAGCATCATTCTTAGGTTGTGTTCAAAGAGAACATATTATGAGTTGGAAATTGGAATGAGAAGAAAGGGCTAGGAGAGGGGTGTACAATGAGTGAAATACAGTTTTCATGCAACTCAGATGAGAACTTCAACTTTATTTGAGGCTATGAAAGGAATGTTAGGTCATAATAATCTTCTACGCTTATTTTGTGAACTATATTTGCCACTGAGAATGATCATTTGATGTATGAACTTGATAGAATATTCACAGATGAATAATTTATTGTTTTTGTTGAAATCTCAACACAGTCTATCTTGTAATTCCCAAATTCAATCACAAAACATATGGGGAAGGAGCACGGTATGATATGGTGTTTCCTGTTGTTCATTGGTGAAACCAAAGCAAAGTCCAGTTTGTGAATCTAAAGATAAAACTTTGGGGTTTAAATGCCCAACAACATATGAAAGTCATTAATGAGTAGTGAGTTAAAACAGCAGGAACAGTTGCTTTTTATCCTGTCATCTATCCTGTAGCTTTATATTTTTATGTATGCTGTTATGTATTATCAATTGAAAGAATACTTTTTGATTGAACGTAATGAAATATTTCATCATCCTGGTTGCAGGTTCTTATCATTTTTCTGTGAATCAACTGCGGTAAAAGTTAATACCATTCGCAGCATTGCAGCTCAGATAATGAACAGAGAAACTGTGACTCGGCTGATTTTAGTAGTGCAAAATCAAATGACAAATCAAGCTCAGAAGGCTGTGGATCTTTTCTCCTTCAAAGTTGAAATATTCCAAGTAAGTTTTATGGTATTATCGAAGTTTTGCATTTTTTTCCCCCCATTCTTTACGTTACTGTTACTATGTTGAGCTGGGAATTTTGGCATTCCAGAGTATCGTGTCGTATTTTAATGCTTGATTTGTGACCATTAAGTATAACTGACCTACCAACAATTAAGCCAATATGGATGAATATTAGCTACAAGCACAGTTGACTTGAAGGATTTCCTTTAGAAGGGACATATATGTCATGCATTTTCTGTGGGGGAAAACTGTTGGGTTCAATATTTTAGGCATTGAGACCCTCAAGCCATTTAGAAATATTTCATCTTTGATGAGTAATAAGGGAATTGTTGTTGGTCTCTCCTGCTGTTGTTTGTTGAGTTGAGGTCTGAAGTGGAGGACAGACCCATTGCCATTCTGAGGAGGGAGGGAGAGAGAGAGAGTTTGAGACAAAGTTGAGAGAGACCCAGAATAAGTTACACAGATCTGCTTTTCTCTTATCCCCACACCCCAATTCGCTTCCTTCCTCAGACACAGATGGGGCTGTCTTTCACCAAGCTTTTCAGTCGGCTGTTTGCAAAGAAAGAGATGCGCATATCGATGGTGGGTCTTGATGCAGCTGGTAAGATGACCATTCTTTACAAGCTTAAGCTGGGAGAGATAGTCACTACAATTCCTACTATTGGAGACTCTGGAGTATAAGAACATTAGCTTTACTGTTTGGGATGTTGGTGGCCAGGACAAGATCCGACCTTTGTGGAGACATTACTTCCAAAACACGCAAGGACTTGTATTTGTGGTTGATAGTAACGACCAAGATCGTGTGGTTGAAGCAAGGGATGAGCTGCACAGAATGTTGAATGAGGATGAATTGAGGGATGCTGTGCTGCTGCTATTTGCAAACAAGCAAGATCTTCCAAGTAAGGGAATTGTTGTTGGTGATGATTAATTTGAGTGGAATCCTTATTGGCCAAAACAAATTTGTGTGAGGTTTGACTGGATCCTTAGGAATGTATTGCAATGATTAAAGTTTTGAGTAATTTTAGTGGGATTTGGGAGTATAGAAAAGAAAACAAATTCATCCTCAAGGAGGAGGATGTCGAGTTGTCTTTTGGGAGTATATTTGGCTTACAAGAGGAGAGTTGGAGGAGGAAGCAAGATAGAGAGAGCACTCTGTCAAATTAGTATTTTAGTTTTGATTATTTTTCTAACAATCCTTCTATAAAGCTGCCCGTTTTTAAATCATTTGGCTTACTTTTGTGATTAAATTCTATTTCATGCCTTTAATGTCTTATCGTTCTGTCTTTAGATTACCGACTTGCTTGTTAACATTACAAAGCATGTGTTAAGGAGAAGCAGAACCTCTTGAAGAAGTTTAGTTTGGAAGAAAAGCAGGTTAGTTATTAATTTGTGATAGTTTTGCTAGTTTAAACTTGAAAATGCTAAAAAAGGATGTTGCTATCTGAGGAAGTTTTTTGTTTTTATTTTTATTGCTTAGCTGTTGAAAACTCATATTCTCCTTGTGGGTTCTATTATCACTTTTATTTTTATAAAACTGCATTTTCTTAACATGTAATAAATACATTGGTGTTTCGTAGTTGATCTTTGATTCATAACATACTGGTGTCTGAAATATTTATCTAGTGCTGCTTAGAAGTAGCTATTGCTCATTAATGTCGTAGGAGTTTTTCAATGTATTTACACATGCATAATATAAGATGTATTTAACATCAAATGTAAATTTCTCGAATATGTTAACCATGTCAAGTTGGATGTTGGGAAGATAACCTTGGTTGGAGGATATGAGTAATTAGTCTGAAAATTACTCAATCCAGATGTCATAATATAAGAGAGTTGTTTGTATACACTGGGATGTGGCCATGACCCTTGTACTACCCTCAAACCAAATGTCAATGTTTGACTTGATCCCAAATGGAGTCATCATATCCTACTCAGCAATAGTGAAATCAAGGATAGAGGATTATCTAGGTTTTTATTGTTTAAGGCTCATCTGGTATATCTGGCACACAGCTTGTGACAAATATTGGCTCTGGTTGAGGAAAGACATCTTGTCCATATTTTAGTGTTTAGCATACATCGTCTGTACTTTACACGCACACATATTATATATGTGATGCTAGAACATAGTGATGTTCATAGTGTTCAACATAGTGATGTGTAATCCTTCCAATGAATTTGACTGACCTTATTTTGTGTTTTCCCTTAGATTCCTCGGATGCTACAAAAAGATGCAATTGCACGGTATTACGGATGGGAGAAGGGGCAAGTGGTGAAAGTTAGTTACAGTGATGAAATTACAGAGTGTAGTACAAGGGTGGTGCGTGTTTCATTTCAGGATTTTCTGTCTGACTATATATCATCTGTGTTAACCCATGCTAAAACTTTGGTTGGTAGAAGTTAATAGGTCTATGATCTTCATGTTCTTTTATTATGTCGACATTGATGCTGTAGGTGGGAATTTCTAGTATGTGTGTGCTTGTTAATGTATATTGCAGCTTGTGAATTGTGTTATTTTTTAGGCTTGTATTTGCCTTTTGTGAACTTTTTCAATTTTGAGTCAAAAGATATTTACTTTTTAGGTCTATCTAGATTAGACAATCCTAAAACTTTTTTTAAAATAGAAAAATTTTCACATAAGTTTTGTAAATTAAAAAGTAAGTTCACTTTTGTTTTTTTTTATTTATAAAATTTGACTTTTATAAGGTCCCAGTATACCCAACTGTATGTAGGCAAAGCAACCGAGAGAAGCTGCCAAAATCTTTATTCTAGAATAATGTATCCATGATAAATTTAACAGCAGTAATTGGAGCACAATTATAAACCCATAGAATTGTAGGAATTCCTTACTTTGGCTTGTTTTGGAAAGTTGGAAAAAAATTTAACTTATTGATTTTTTTGGTGTTTTTTTGGGAAAAAATGTACAAAAAAAGAAAAGAAAAAAAGGGATGATGTAATGTAAATAAGTTAATAGATTAATAAACTGGCTTTTTTGTCATATTTCCAAAAGAAGCCAAAGCATTCTCTTCAAAGGAAGAAAAAAAAAATGAACAAAGAAGAAGGAAAGCAGCCCAAAAAAATGTCAAACTAACTTGATCTTTCGCAGAAACCGAGCTTCAAACCAGCAACATGAATTTCCAAGGCATCCTCCAAAACAACAATGAGAAAACTATCCCTCCTTGATTTCAGTAAAAATAAATAAAAATTATGACAACCACGAAATGCATTCTACATCACTGCAGTCATACTAAAATTTATTTATAATAAGGGGTTGTTTGGGATGACCTAAATAAGTGTATTTTTTGTCTTTTTACGAAAAGATGTGCAGAAAAGTAGAGAGATGATGTGATGGAAAAAAGATAAAAAGATGGATTATTTTGCAATTGCCAAACTTGGCCTAAGATTAATGAATGAAGTAAATTTCAATCAACAATGAATTATCAATCTAATTCTCATCTATATGAAATTATCAATCTAATTCACCAAAACAATAACAAGCTGCCAACAGGTCGGATTGCAGCAGTAGTGTTCGATTCCTACTTTCTACAATCACGCTTGTCAATATAAAAAAAAATTAATAATAAATAAATAAATAAAAGAAAAAGAAACAGAAATTGATCCAAGACAATTTTGGTAGTATGTTATTCTGCAATCAATATTGAATTAATCAATATTTTCGAGCTAAAGATGCAGCAATCCCGCCAGCCACAAGTCCTACATCTGTTGCAGTGATGCCAATTCCAATAACACCATCTGCACACCAACAACAACAAAAAAGAAGTGTATTTTCAGTTTCTTTAAGATCTGAAAATTTGATAAAGATAAGTCATCACCTTTAGTGATTTGATCATCAACAGTCTTCTTGAGGGTCAAAGCTTGCACCCAATTAGGTGCAATCTGCAACACATGAAATACCTATGTGATTTCCCATGCACATGCAATTTTCTATAATTATAGACTCTGTTAAATTAAAGTCAAAATATAAAAAGAACTTAACAAGCCAGAAAAAAAAGAAAAGAAAAAGTACATTGTCTATGTTATGGTAGTATTCAATGATTGGGTGATTTGAAGATTATTTGAGTAGATGAAGGAATTTAAAATGAGCTGGAGACTAGGCAGATCAAAATATAACTCTGTCATAGCATTTCAATGATGAACTGCCCTTCAGATAGAATTACTTCCCACGATAAAAAGTCTTTGTGAAAAACATCAAATTATCAAAACTAGTAACAGGAAATGCAAGTCATGTCATTTCTTTCAAATTATTATATTATTATTTTTTTTTGTTTGTATCATTTCTTTGAAATTATAATCTGAAAGATAATCAATCACACATAACACAAAGTAAAATCATGTAGGTATGAAAAAGAACCTAAAAAGAAAATTGAAATACTAGGTACAAACTCTGATAAAATACAGGAAAGGGAAAACAAACCTCTAAACATTATTCTGCAAGCTGCCTGCTCCTTCCATATTCACCACTTCTGTAATACCCAACAGCAAGAACATAGAGCTTTTCCCTCTTTTGCAATGGGCTGCCACTATTGGCTAATGAGGCTGCCAATGAAGAATTGTTCAGTTTCTGACAAGGGCTGAAATTTCATATACAAAATCACAAGTAAACGCTCAGAATTTCAAAACAATACAAATACGGTAAGTCTCTGTGCAGCTTTCAACATCAATAGAAACTTAAAACACAAAGGTGTAGTGAAAAATAATAAAAAAGCAGCAATAGCATAAACAAAGCTAATCATGACTCCAAAGGGAATGATGGTGATTACTTCGGATACAAAAGTTATCGTTTACAAACTCTTTACAGAAGGGGTCAGCACCAAGTCCACAACTTTGAGGTTTGCTACGTTGAGCTAATAATTTGAATTTCTCAAGCATGAACAAGTATGGAGCACAAAATGCAGTAAACTTTTGATGGCCCCTAAACTAATCATCCAAAAATGTGTATACAACATGCAACTTTTAGTAAGTGTACTGGCTGTTAAGTTGCTTTTTTTCTCCATTTTTCCATGAATAAAGAAACAAATCAAGTTAAAAAATACAAAAAGAGACACAAAAATACACATGCATGCACACACAAGATCAGGGTGAGGTGATAGTTACAGT